TCACCGTGTCAGAGGCGTCCCTGCCCCCCCCCCGCCGGCCGGTCTCCGCTAGGCATCTTCGTGAGCGCTCGGGGCCGGGAAGGCGCGAAGGGTGCGCGGCTGCGGTTAAAGCCCTTCTCCTGGGAGCGGGGTGGGACGGGGAGGCCGAGAGCCGCGGTAATCCCCAGCCTCCCGGAGCCGGCGGCTTCCTGCGCCGCAGCCAGCGCGACGGCTCTCGCCGCGGGAGGTCGTGCCTCCAGCCTTTGTGGTGGGTGGCAGCGGCGTGGCCACCTAAGGCGGACTGGGCATTGGCGTGGCTTGAGAGCATTACCTTTTGGGAGTGTTTCACGGTTTTCTCCTTACGTTTGACTTTCACTTTGATCTTCCCTCGCGTCACATCTTCCAGGTAAGGTACCTCTTTAATGCTGTCATCTACAGCAGACTCGGAGAGGTCTGGTCAGTGTTGAGTATGTTAGTTTGTAGATGCTTTATATGCATGTAATAACAGGTGTTTTAGGGTTTTTTAATAGCTATTAGGTTATTGGCAGTTAACATGCTAGTACAAAAGAACTTAACTGTAAGCATGAATTTTCTGTTGGATCTGACAGTGCTGCTGGAGGAAACGCCTGCACTGAGCAGCTCATCGTTGTAACCTTCCAGAGATTATTGCTGTCACCTTTTAGAATTTATTATACATTGGCCTATTGGTGGAGCAATTTGTATGAACAATCTTAAAATCACTTCAATAAAATCGGGCAGGTTAGCATGAAATTAGTGGTCTGGGTTAAGAAGGCTTTACTTAGTAAGTCTGTGGAGGTGTGTTTTTCTGGTCTTCTGCTACAATTTACTGTTTTTCCTTTGCTCTTTCAGTTAACTGGCATACTAGACCACTTGAATACCCCTTGTCCTTTTTAGGGCAGCCTTAAACCATGTATAAAATTAATTCGATCTTACTTGATTGTGTCTGTATTGAAGTACAGACACTTCTTCCTTTCTGTCCTGTCAGCTGAGCATGACCCACCGTCTTCCTTTCCATCCCTGCAGCTCAGGGTGGGAATGAACAAGGGGTAATTGCAAGTTTAACTGTTTCAGCCAGATCCAGAAAATGTGTTATCAGTACCTTTAACTGTTATTAGACTCTCTGAAAGTATTCTAATTTAGTGTGGGGTTTATTTTTTTGTTGTTGTTTTTTTGTTTTTTTTAAGACTCTCTAAGTGTAGGGCCTGTACATGTGGTGTAAGGAGTCTGTGAGCACTTTGTTTCATTTGCCTGGCCTAATGGCCCATACTAAAGGGGTCTGGTTCTGTTAAAGTAATCCTCACTTTTTTTGTTTCAGAATTCCAGAGGCACTTCTTATCTGCTGAAGGATAGTGTCCCGCTTACGGAATTTTCAGCTTCAGGACCATTTGAAGGTCATGATCTTCTGCGTAGAGGGTATACTTTACTTTTTGTTGTTGAATTGTGCCGTAGCCAGTGTTGAACTTCAGATATAGGAAGAAAGTATGTGTTAAATGTTGGCTTTTTAAAGAAGGTTCTTGGAAGGTGTATTGCAACAGCTGTAGCCTGAAGTGTATGTATTTAATCAGATTGTCTTTCAAGCGTGAATTTTCTGTGAAACATCACTTCAAGTAGTCGATAATATTAATGGACTTTCACCTGTGTGATACTGCTCTTTAGAAAAGAGATGGCAAAATATTAATAATTATGAAATATATGCCAGTTTTAATACACATGTATATGAGTGTGTAATAGCGCTGTGGGAAATGGTTAATTTCAGCATTGGTGCAAAAAGTAAAGTTAATACAGTAAAAATAGTGGTTTTGGGTTTTGCCATTTTACATGAGCGCAAAACTATGTGCATGTGTTGGGTAATGAATCTAAAATAAGTTCATAGAGTTTAAAATGCAGGTAATGCCTTCCCCCCCTCACTCATAGTTGTGTGTACAATGTTCGGTTGCAAAAGCTTGGAGACTTCTAAAATCAGATACCATGTAGCTTGGACATAATTAAACTTACGACGTTTTCATTTATTAATATATTTCTCTATTTCTGAAGGGGGTCAAGGAAGAAAAGCTGTAATTCTGTTTTGTCAAACATAAAGAAAAAAGGATGCCTGAAATTTAAATTCCTTTTCTTCTAGTAGTGCTGTAGTTGGATGTCTTATTTGCTGCTTCACTATTAAGCTTTTTGGTAGTTCAAACTGTGCTAATTATGCATGTCTGTGGGTTGATGTTTGTATCTGAGATTAGTTTTGGAATGCAACTTAAAAAATAATATCCTGATTAATTTGAAGTTCAATTTTTTTACTTGTATTTCTAGCTTTACAAGTGTGAAAAATGAATTGTTGCCCAGCCACCCACTGGAGTTGTCAGAAAAAAATGTAAGTATAACATCAAATGTAGCCATCTTCACTCTTAACTAATTATGAAGTTTAACAATGTGGTTACCTGGGCTGCTTTGTGCAGTAACAAGGAATGAGCAGGGTCTTGCCTTTAACAGAATAAAGGTGTTCAACAGGAATAACATTTTATTTATACAAATAAGATTGCTGGCAAATTTGTTTAATGTTAACCTCCCACTTGTGAATCTCTCCATTTCAAGTATGTAAGTGGGCTTCCAAGTAGGGATTTACTTAGTAAGGTTTAGTCATCTAAAAGTTATTAAGCTAGTTGTGTATGCAGCCTCTATGGTTAGGTGGGGGGCACACCTGTCACTTCTGGAAGGCTGATGCTCCCATTTTGTCTATAGGTTTACCATATATCTTCATTTCCAGACTCTCAGTCCGTGAACACATAAATACTTTTAATTAAATTACTTGATCCCACCTAGAAATTCTACACATGCAGTTTGTCGTAAGTGTATGCAATCTTGTCCAGCTCTAGTCATCACTCGTGGGCCGCTTAAGAGTGGTCTGTGGACCATAGGTTGAAGGTGAAGGGAGACTAGACTGACAGCCTTGGCTAAATAGCTCATTGAACTGAATCTTCTCTCTGGTGCCTGTTTTGTCAGCACAGACGATTTGATGTAATAAAATGTCCTGAAGCAAAGGCAGTATTTGGATATAATGTTCCAAATGCCTAAGCTAATCAGCATGACGAGGTCTGAATGTAATGTGTAACGTATTCTAATTCTAACCAGTGCTACTGTTGTCTTGAGCTAGTGTTGTCTTGAGTTAAAAGGAGCTTATTTCTAAACACTGTAAATGTTTGAGCTATTTGTCAGTTGATTTTTTTTTTATGACTGACTGCTCTAACTTAGTTTTTAACTCTGTTCTTGCTGTATAAAACCTGCATAATTAAAAGATTACATGCTAGAGAGAAACAAAAAATGCACAGAAATAATTAAAACAGACAATGTGATCCCCTAAGATGTATGTGAAACTTTTAAATTGTTTTTTCCACATATTTGGTTAATTTTTCTGTAAGTTTATAGCCAGTTTATCTAAGAATTATTTTCGTGTACATTTGAATGGGAAAAGACTTATCTTAGCCTGAGATAGTTATGGTTGTTTTTACTGCCGTAAATGGTAGGTTATTCAGGTAGGACTAGCAGAAACCAAATCTTGCTGCTACCCAGATAAGGACCCCTATCTTTATAAAATAAAGTGGAAATGGAAAAATAATGTGACCGGAATTGTAAGTTTGGGATGAGGCCTATAAATAGTATTTTCTGCGAACTTTTGAAGAGCAGTCAATATAGGTTGTTATGAAGACAAGGCATGTTATGTCTTTGACTTGTATTTTCCTGTTGGTTTTTGAGATCCCTTCACATAAACGGGATGATATTCTCATACTAGTGGGCTTTTGTCATGGTGTTTGAGTACAGGTTTTAAAATAAGAGATTTGTATTTTTTGTTTTACTTTACAATATTGTATTGTGTCAACATTACAGGCAGGTAGTCACTACTATAAAAGCCAAATTTGAGACTGGATTACTCGAGCTTAAGTTTAACATTAAGTATAAGTTACTTTTTTGTACTTCAGTATTCATGAGCCAGCACTTTTTCATTAAAAGAACCCTCTACTAAATAGATTCTTTGTCTTACTGATCACTTTTAGAGCAGTTGGTAAAATTATGAGCTTTCTCTTGCTTTTTGGAGTCATAAGGAATATATGTGGTGCTCTGTCTTCCTACTTGATCAGAAAAGAAGTATTTCAAGTGTTTTCAAGTAGAGTCTTTGATGACTAACAATAACTTCAATTGTGGCTGTCGAAGTTTGTGTTCTTCCTTTAAACCAGACTTAGCTTCCAACTCGTGCTCACAATATTGTAGTAATGTAAAGTAGTGCAAAACTACACCACTTGGTGGTGTTACATGTCCTGATTGTCAGAAATAACAAAATAAAATTACTATACTGATTTGTAATAAAATCCAGCAAAAAGTGATTTCAGTTTCATAAAACAAATATTACTGCATCGCTGACTGCCATGTATGTTTGAGACACATATGACAGGATCACTGAATTTTTGCATGTAAATTTAATAAGCATGTTCATTTAAGTAGGATGTCACAAATCTCTTCTATGGCTGTACTTGAAAGTAACTTTTTCTAAAATAAAAATCAATGTTGTTTGTGATAGTTCCAGTTAAATCAAGATAAAACAAACTTTGCTACGCTGAGAAATATTCAAGGACTCCACGCACCTTTAAAGCTGCAGATGGAATTCAGAGCAGTGAAACAGGTAGGCATTTTTATCCAACTGGTAAAACTGAAACCACTTGAAAAAATTTTTATCTTGGAACATGCTTTCCGAGAGACATCTTTCTTTGTTGAAATACTTTGTTTCCAAAAGAAATTATTTCACTGGACTGCTTTTATTAAAATGAACCAACCAAATATTGCAATTAATAGTTTCCAGAACAGTCAATATGCTAAAGCCTTTCAGCTGCTGTTCCTTTATTGGTTACTTGGTGAAGTGTTAACTGCTCTAGCTTTTCTGTGGACTAGCTTCCTGTAAGCCTTCAGAGAAAAGCAGGAGGAATTGAGTATTAATTCCTAAAATTAATACTTCTCTGTAGAACGTATGACCTTCATGGGAAGGAGTCTCTGCATCTGTAGGGCAAAGACTTAGGGATCCGAAGCAGGTAGTGATTTGGGAGTGGATAAAGAGGTAACGTGAAAGCTGAAGCAGAGAATTTGCTATGTGCTTATTATTGTTCCACAGCCTTTCTTGTAAGGTCTGGGACGTCTACAGGGAGTTAAGTTCAAAGGTTTTAACTCTTAATTAGGAAGCTGAGTCTGTCTCCTTTTCCTTCTTGTCTCCTAGGATGGAAAGTAACTGGATGGAGGCTGACTTTGTCCCTTAGGAAGCATAGAAAGCTCATTGGTCCTAGTAAACTTTTTTTTGGCTTGTTGAAGTTGTCAAGCTATTAAGAGCTGTTTTTCCAAGTGAGCTGGAGCAATTTTATATTCCCTTCCCGTGAATCAGGTGCTCCTGAACCACAGTGAGCTACATTGAACTTGGCAGAAATTACTGGTCCTGAAGATTTGAAAGTCAGACAGGATGTATGAAAACATCCCTTGATCTCAGCTGTGAGGTCTTACAGGGAAAAATCTTCTTCCTAACTGATGTTAGCACATGGCAGAAAATGAGGCAGGTGAGGATATCCTGCTAAGTGTGTTTCACAGGTGGTCTTGGGGGATGCATGGGGGAATATGGTCATTAGAAGGTTTTTCACTCCCAGCTTCATGTTAGATATACACATTTTCTTGTGGTTTAGTTTCACTTTTCTTAAATATTTACTGGAATAGTGTATTTGAACTTCTGACAATTGTACCGGTACTGATTATGGAAATCTTTGACATATTTTGTGTGTGAAGAGATAGCTACATGATAATTTTATGGTTGTAAAATATGTTCATGGTATAACTGCAGTATTACTACTAGTAGCGAATGTGATTCTAAGTACAGATATGCCATTCTCGGAATATTTAGGATCTGAATGCTGTGTGTACCACTTGAAATTTTTTTTGTAATACTGTGGGTGGAGGGTACAGAAGAGGGTGTTGAAAGTAACCGGCAGTGGACTTGAAGCTTAAGAATTGGTGGAGAACAGAGAAATAATTATTATTTAGATTAATTGCAAGGAGGATTATGTTTAGGTGTGAAAATCAATATAGCTCTTTTGCTTAGATTCCTGACTTGTGTCAGAGACGTAGGAAACTTTCCAAACACTCCCTCAGGGTGTTGATGTGCTTGTTGCAGTGAGCCTCCCCAGCTTTATGTGATAACAGAGGAGGAGAAAAAAAAAACAACCACCCTTTTTTTTAACTATACTATTTGCTGTAGTAGCTACACTGCAGTGAAAGTTACAAATCTAGTGAAAGGCTGTTCTTTTCAAAACAGAGAGGAACAATAGAAGACGGTGGTGTGAGGTAGGTTTTGCTATCTGTGTGCTGGTAGTTCTTATTTCATTGTTGGTTTTGAAGGAAGAAGTGACTTTGCCTGTCACTTTTCTCAGTCACTTCAGACTGAAAAATCTAAATATAAACCCCCTCAGTTTCAGACTTGCAGGAACTTGAACTCTTGTTGTCTTTTTACAGGTCCAGCGTCTGCCATTTCTTCACAGCTCAAACATAGCACTGGATACTCTGAGGGGAAATGATGAATGCATCAGTTTTGAGGATATCCTTAATGGTAAATACATTCTGTTTTCAATGTTATGGAAACATTTAAAGGTAAAATTTGGGAACTGTGAAGTTCTTTGCTGCTATGGAATAAGTGAATTAAATGCACAAAATACAAAGAAAAAAAAATTAATTCCTAAAGGCAAAGAAGTGATAGGGGAAGGAGAAATAAATGTGATTCAGCTGCTAGTTGTGTGGAAATTACTCTGAAATAATGAGTAAGCCAGTATTTGCTTGTAGACTGCATTTCTAAAGGAGTAGAAGATTACGCACTCATGTTGTATGCCTGTTTCCCCAGAAACTTTTGAACTACTTGTGCGGATTTTGACAGGTGGAGGTTACAAAGATACAAAGTTTTTAGAAGTTCTGTAATTAAAAAGAAAGTAAGTCTACAGGAGAGACATGGAACTAATGAACCAGAGATATGGCAGGGGGAAGGGTCCCTCAAATTATCTCAACAGTTTGCAGTTGTGTGGTGGATTACTGACTGACAGTATGTGTGGAATAGAGTAAATTTGGAAAAATAGTTTTAAAGTTATTTCTTTCTAGCTGGTAGTTAAGGACATGGAAGGATGCAGAGGGTATTTTGAGGTGGGATTGAAGAATGGAAAGGGCCAGGGAGATAGGAAACTGGAAATAATGGAGGGGTAAGTGGGAATCTAGAGGTATGAGGTAAATCTGGGATTATTTTCTGGGATGGATTTACAGGGAGCAAGGGAAGGACTCTTAGGTTATTGTGGTTCAGGGGGCAGAAAAATGTCAAACATAAATTATAGGAATTTGGTTATTTACCATTGCTCACAAGAAGCTGTTACATATTTATAGAGCACTAAGGAACGGGTGGGTTAAATGTTTTTGGAAAGGTTCTGTTTATCAGCTGGGGCTGGATTAGATAATTTTGGTGTCTCTGGAGGAATCAAAGGCATTAATATGCCTTCTTTATGGAAGGAAGACACTCTGATACACCTGTAAAGAAAGGTATATTTCTTCCACAGTGCAGTCACGGTCTTTTCTGGCCTTGGCTTTTTTTTTATTTTTATTTTTTGTATGGAAATGTACTGTCAGTATCTCTTGTGTCCTCTGCACATTCCTTGATAACCTTTGAGTACAGTGGCTGATGTCAACCATACTTTGCAGAATGGAGGAAATCTCAGACGGTTAAGGGCATAGAATTTCTGTGAAACTAGGTGGTTAGGTGGAGAACAACAACCACGAGTATGTCCAAATAACAGAAGGGCTGGCGTGTGAGCTCCTGTCGTACAGAGAAGTTGCATTGGAAAGAGATGTGGGCCACCTACAAGGAAAAACTTCAGTAGACTTGAGTTCTCTTAAACACAAAACTGGATCAGCCTTGAGATTCAGGCTATAGGAGACTGTGCTTCTGTAGAACTACTTGGTTTTACTTGAAGTGTGCGTGTCCTTACGAAACACTGTTCCACTACAGATGTATTTGGTATCTGATGATTGCTTTGGATAGAGACTTATGAGTTACAGACCTACAGTGTCAAAAATCAAGTCGAGTAACTGTTGCACTAAGCATTAGATTTGAAGAAAAAAAAGGAAGAAATGTGGTCATGTTCCTAGTTATTGTTGGTCTTTGTAGCTTGGTAAAAGCCTCATGCTGTCGACCTTTTTTTTTTTTTTTTTCCAGATCCTTCACAGAGTGAGGTTATGGGAGAACCACACATGATGATGGAATACAAGCTTGGTTTATTGTAACGAAATGTACTCCACAAACATGTTTTGTGTGTGTCTTTATACTGCAGATCTAAATACATGATACTAAATTGACGCTCACGGTGTTAAGCAGTCCTACAGTTACCATTTGCCTTCCTTGATGAAAAGGCACATTAAATGTTTAAAGTCTATAAATTGTTCTGTGCTTGTTGTCAATTATATAAATGTCCTGTAACTAGGTAGTTTAAATAATGTCTCTTCATACACAGCTCAGGACAATAGCTTCTTAACTATGGAAATGCTATATGTGTATACAAGAAATCCAAAAATACCCGTGCATTTTAAAACTGATTACTGTAGGTAAATGCATTTAATGGATGTTCTTGCAGAAGAACTTTTTAAGGGGGAAACAAAGGTATTTTCCACTGAGTAACTCTTTGTTCATGAAAATTTCCATACACTTTTTAAACTATTGAATAAAAGTTTGCTATAAATGCTGTTGCGTTCCAAAATATATTTGATCATAAATAGAGAATCTCTTATCCACAACACAAACAGTGTTGTTCCTTTCTCTTGCAATATCTTTAAAGATCTTTAACTTGCACTGCCAATGGAATCCTGATAACATACATTTTATTCCTCCCTGTTGACAGTTGTTCATGAGTGAGCCATTAAGCTTTTGTGTAGAATTGGAAATAGAGCTGTAAGAAGGGAGTTAAAGGTCTGGATTTCTTCATCTGTGTCCCTGAGAGGAAATTCTGATTTCTGAAAGTAGAAGCAGCTTCCACTTGGAGTTTAAAGAGGTGTTTTAAAATCCATTTGGGAACATAATCCAAAAGAGCACTCCTATATCTAGGTATTTTAGATTTCGGAGATTAATTATGCCTAATTATGACAGTACATAATAAAACTGCTGCAGTGACAACATGAAGATACAGTGGTACTAGATGACAAATACAGAAATAATTTTTTTGTGGGGTTACCAAAATCACATCTTAATTATGGGACAATGACTGACCTATACTTAAATACACCTTTTAAAGGAGCGGGCCACTGAAAGGATTTTTGCGTGCTTAAGTGGGGGCCAGTGTTATTAAATTCAGGGTTGTAACAACTATTTTCTGATGTCATACACGTGCCTGTGTCATGTATAAATCCTGTAAGGCAGCTATTATGATGTGGCGTATTAGGACAAAAAAAAAAAAAAGTCTGTGGTTCAAAAGATGTCAGCTCTTGTCACGTGGTGAGCTTGAAACAATATTTCTAGGAGAGGAACTGCCTTTATTCGGCAGGTCTTAATGACTTGGTTAAACTGCTAAGTGCGCTCAGTGTTCTGTTGTAGATAATTTTAGCAGAAATGTTGCTATAAACCTCTCTTCACAATCCCAAACATCTCTTGTGCTTTTCATCGTGCTCGAAGCTGCCACAAACTCCCTATCCATGTGGGTGAAAGCATCTAGCTTCCATCCTGTAAATTTTACAGTGCTTTTATGCACACCTATTGCAAAACATTGCAGCAAATTAAAAACATTGAGATGACACAGTATGAGACACTTTACGGGTGGTTTTATTTGGTTTTATATTTAAACTTGTTTCATTTAAGAAGTGAAGCTTCTAAAACTGTCTTTCACTTGAGAGCTGCAGAGATGAGAAGCTTGTGCTGTGAAATACAACACAACCTATGTCATTTGTATTTTTTGCCGTAGTGAGGTTAAGCATAGGACCAATAAATTAAACACGCAGGCGCAGACCTACTCACTATTTTGTTTTCCCGTGAGCTGATATACTTCATTAAATATCAGAATTGGCTGCTGTTTTACAATGGACAAGTTTCTTGGCAGTTTTATTTAAAGCAAAAGTAAACTGTTGTTATGAAGCCAGCTTGGGGTTCAGTAGGCTTGGTGTTGCTCTAGGCCCAGGCTAGAACAGCCGAGGGATTACCTTGCCAGGTCTGGGACAAATTAAGGTATGGGCATGGATTTTTAGGAGGGTTTTCAGGTCTGCCTTCCTACCAGCACTGTTCCGGGAATAGGGGTGCAGGAAACAGGGAGCCATCCCGTAGTTGTACACAGTTACTGGTACTTTGTAGCTCCCCGCCTCGGTGTATCTAGCTAGTTGGCGTTTCCTGCTGTTGGCTAAAAGATGGATGCTATTGTATCTGAGCAAAACGACACTAAGACAAGTAATTTAGTAGAGTTTCTCATTAGCGCAGCAAAGAGCGGACATAAATTAGGAGGCTGGATGTAATTTCCAGGTGGTTTTGTTCAGGGATTAGTGTACGTTATTATAATCTTGGGTGAGATCAAGCCATATTCAGAGCAAGGAAGCTAATTGTAGGGGTTAGCCAGGCTGGAAAGCAAACGGAATGTGTAAGAGGCACGTGCAAGAATTTATCCTTTTAGTAGAGTGATGGCAGTCAAACAGGACTGAGGCAAAGAGCTTTTGAGATACAAAGGAAGGGTTGCACTTGCTCAGTGGTGCAGGGGGTCGGGCTGGGGCCTGGTCTTCCTGGCCCAGCCCCGTCTCCCCGTTTCACACGAGCCTCGCTCTGTAAGGTGGGCGCTGGAAGCAGCAGCCCGCCGAGGCGTGCCAAGCCGGGCGTGCTGACAAGCGTAGCCGGGACGGGCCCTGCCTCGGTCTCGCATTGGACCCAACCTGGGCAAGGGGAGGACAGCGCTTGCGGGTCCCCTGGTCTGAGGTGCAATGCAAGCCTCCGTGCTGGCTTCTTGCAGAGAGCACTGCTGTCCCTGCCTCCTCTTGGTGCCGATGTTCTGGGCGGCATCTGTTCCTCTCCCCAAGCGCAGGACAAAGGCAAAAGCGCATCTTCCTGCACTGCAGTTTGTTTGTTACCACCACAAAAAATAGGTGACACCACAGTGCTGCTGCTTCTGTTTACATGAACGTTCCCCCACCAGTCATCCTGTTGGCCATTTGTCAAAAAACAATGCAAGAACTACAGATACAACACAGAGTTTAAAAAAAAACATTATTAATTTCTGTCAAAATAATTTGCATTTATATACAAATAGAGCAACTACTATAAACTTGGAAGAGTTTGCTTTAATAATCTGAAGCACATTAGTACCTGGTTTCCTCAAACTGCATTGTGCTAGGCACTTTAAAAAACACAGTTCATATCCTTCATCTGTTTGGACCTAAACTTACAGCCAGTTCTAAATGCGGTGTCTACCAGAAATATTTGCAAACAGCAAGTACTTTGTACAGCAAAATCAAGCCATAACAGAGCCTTTCCTGAAGTGTATGTACATGTTCTCATTTGGGCCGACGGAATGCCACTGCGGAACGGGCTTGCTTTGTTGGTACCTTCCGAGTGCTAGCAGGGGTGTGCATTGAAGAAGTGAAGGCACGCACCTCTTCTTCATTTGCTTTACTTTTTCCAGACAGTTTTGTGCGAAATAGTTAATTTCACAAAGCCTTACATAACTGCCTAATGAAGAGGCAAGGAAGACAATGTAATCTTTGTGCTGAAACCCTTTACATCAGGGTTTTCTTAATCTCTCCACAAGTACTCATTATGTTTTGGACCCACTGATTATTGTAAAACTCCCCTCGCTTCTCCAACAAGTTGGCAGCAACTTGGGCACCTCAAGGGAGGAGAGTTAAGCAGTTTTATTTACTGGCTAGTGTCTAAACTAGCTAGCAAAAACTAGTGATCTTTAATTGCCAACATCAGTCTTGGTAGTTCAGGACAGAAGTGTAAGAGCTGGCTATAATTATTGGCTGTGTAAATAGTCATACCCCTGTCCTGGATAAACAGCACTGTTTTCACCAGTGACGGGTAGGTAGTGGTCTCCTGGCTAGTGTAAACTCTTCTTTACCTTATTTGAACCCTCTTCCAAACTTCTCTGTCATCACAATACGTAGCTTGGAAACAATGCTGTCGTTCAAACAAAAGTATCTACAATAGTATCATCATGATGTGGTACTAATGTTTTTTGGTGGAGTACCACTGAGAAGTTCTGCAGAAGTACTCTGTTCATATGATGGATGTTAATGGCTGGAAGCAGGTCATTGATTATACAGCATACGCTACGGCCGTCTTCATTTCTAGCCTATGCTGTGTGCATGTGAAGTCAGTTCCCACATCATAGCTGCTTTCCTAGAGTTTTCCTTCTGTGAATGTCAACCACTTTACATTATTTTGATTTCTCTACCTGATCTGTTTTGGGGGAAGAGAGTCACATACAACCTACCTGTACTCTCGGGGATGAGAAACAGGATTGGCTGTCAAACTCTCTCTGAAAAAAACACATGGGAGTGATCCTCAACATGGTGTTGTATTTACATTTCTGCTGTGTTGTGCATTCCCGAAGCTAATACTCTGGATAATTTCTACTTAAAGATCTCAAGCAAAAAGGTGAAGAGTCAATGCAGACACTGATTCCTAGGTTTGGCAGTCTCACCAGTCTGCACTGTGGCCCTGGGCAAGTCACTTGTTCTCTCTGTCGATTTCTCTCTCTCTGCAACAGGGAGGATAATATCTGTTACGGAAGGAGGGTCTTAATAGCATTTGTAAAGTGCTTTGAAGATGAGAAATGCTGTTCAAGTGCTCATAAATTATGCTGCATTCACTGCAAGATGATTAGATGCATGATTCAGATTTGGGCACCTCATTTCAGGGTTGTTAAAAAAATAATCAAAGATCCACTGAAAAGAAACGCTATTACAGCCTTTCACTAGAAGAAACATTTAAGCTAAGTACAGCCAACTTAGCTAGAAAACAAGAAATATCTATGGGACAAAAAATAGAGGTGTCTGTATGCAGTCCCTAATACATGGAAAATGATAAAAATGTATGTGCAATATGGCCTGTGCAAAAAGTAGGCATAGGCCTAACTTCACACTCTGCAAGCTGGAAATTTTCTAAGTATGACAGTTCTGCGTGAAAATCCATTTTAAGAACTAAGTCAAAGGCAAGGTCCACACATTACACATTCAACTTGCACAAACACTCTCTGCTAACTGCAGAGCAAGTACTGCCTCCAGTCTGGTTGCTTTCCGATAAAAGTATCTTTTAGTTTAGTAATTTTAGACAAGTTTGGGGGCTTCACCATTAAGACAGGCTTTTTAAGATGTACACAGTGGACCACATCCTCAGCTGGCATGAGCTCCACTGGCTTCAGCAGAATTGCCAGCACCCTCTGAGTTGATAAGCTTAATCTCTGTCTCCCCACTTAGAATGATACAAGATGTATCACAATCCACAGCTGACATTCTCAAACTTGACAAAGGGTAAGTGGAAAAAGAGTATCATCCTACCTTATTTCTTCTTCATGCTGAAAGCAGCATTAAAATCTCCATTGCCAGCCTATTTGCTAGTTAAGTGTAAGAGCTAGCTTTATTCAAGTGCTAAAAAGAGACTGGATAAAGAGTGCTACCAATTTAGTGCTCATTGCTGCAGGGCCACTTAGAGATTGCATCTGCAACTGTTGTGTTATCTCTATGGTCTCTGTATGACATAATGGTCTCTGCC